AGACACACACACACATACACACAGAGACACACACACACACACAGACACACACAGACACACACACACAGACACACAGAGACACACACACAGACACACAGACAGAGACACAGACACACAGAGACACAGAGACAGACACACACAGACAGACACAGCGAGACAGACAGCGAGGCGACGGCCCTCACCGATGTCAATGGCGAAGCGTTTCGCGCTGCCCAGGTTGCGAAACACTTCGTGAGGAGGCAGCTCGATACTGCGCGCGTAGTCGCTCGACTCAGTCACCCGCCCCGGACTCCCCTGCCTCCTCCTCCTCCTCGCCGCCTCCTCCTCCTCCTCATCCTCCCCCTCCTCCTCTGCCTCGACAGACGCCATACTCGTCGTCGTGGTGGTCGTGGTGGTGGTTGTTGTTGTTGAGGGAGATGGGGGTCGTGGGGCCGGTGATGTCATAGCCACTGAATGACGGAAATGACGTCATTGTTGTTGAGGGCGATGGGGTCGTGGAGCCGGTGACGCCATAGCCGCCGAACACGGAATTGACGTAATTGTTGTTGAGGGAGATGGGGGGGGTCGTGGGGGCCGGTGACGTCATAGCCACTGAACACGGAAATGACGTCATTGTTGTTGAGGGAGAAGGGGGGGTCGTGGTTTTCCGGTGACGTCGTAGCGACTTGTTGCGATGTTGAGGGGGGGGGGGGGGAAAGACGTCATTGTTGTTGAGGGAGATGGGGGTCGTGGGGTCCGGTGATGTCGTAGCGACTTGTTGCGATGTGAGAGGGGGGAAATGACGTCATTGTTGTTCAGGGAGAAGGGGGGTCGTGGTTTTCCGGTGACGTCGTAGCGACTTGTTGCGATGTGAGGGGGAAATGACGTCATTGTTGTTGAGGGAGGTGGGGGTCATAGGGTCGGTGACGTCACAACAACTGGAGACGATGAGAAATGACGTCTTTGTTGTGGTTGACGGAGATGGGGTCGTCAGGCCGGTGACGTCTAGCGACAGAACACGACATGACGTCATCGTTGTTAACGGAGATGGGGGTCGTAGGGACCGAGGTCGCGCGTGCAGTGACGTCATAGCGACTGAATACGATGTGAGGGGGAATGACGTCGTTGTTGTTAACGAAGTGGTGGGAGGGTGGCGGGACCGGAGGTCGCGCGTGCAGTGACGTCATAGTGATTGCCCACGATGGAGAAATGACGTCATCGCAATCGCACGCCCTCAACGCCTAAGTACGGACAATGGCGTGACGTCACCGGTTAGTTCCTTCACAACTCGTGCACCCACCCGGGGCGACATGACGTCACTCTATAGTACCATCCCACTCCGATCCTTATATGGACATGAGGGGTGACCTCATTCAATTACACCCATCCGACCCTTATATAGTAATGATACATGACGTCACTCCATAGCACCATCCCACTCCGATCCTTATATGGACATGAGGCATGACCTCACTCCACACAGCACCACGCTCCGACCCTTAGTGACGCATGACGTCACTGCATAGCACCATCCCACTCCGATCCTTATATGGACATGAGGCGTGACCTTACTCCACACAGCACCACGCTCCGACCCTTAAAGTGACGCATGACGTCACTGCACAGCACCATCCCACTCCGATCCTTAGATTGACCTGCAATGACGCCACCATTCCAATCCCTTGCTGCCTGACCGCACGTGGAGTCGCCCGGGTGGCATGACGTCACTCCAGTGTAATCACCATCACCACCACCGTGGTAAATGCGGTGATGGTGGTGGTGACGTCTCTACACCGTGCACGTGTTCACCTCGTTGAGCACTTTCACTTTGTGTTACGCTTTATTAGATGGCGTTACAGAGATGGTGGAGATGTTGTTGATGATATTGATGATGATGTTGTTGTTGATGATGTTGTTGTTGATGTTGTTGATGATGTTGTTGATGATGATGTTGTTGATGATGTTGTTGATGATGTTGTTGATGTTATTGTTGATGATGTTGTTGATGATGATGTTGTTGATGATGTTGTTGATGATGATGTTGATGTTGTTGATGTTGATGATATTGATGATGTTGATATTGTTTATGGTGTTGATGATGTTGATGTTGTTGATGATGATGTTGTTGTTGATGTTGATATTGTTTATGGTGTTGATGTTGTTGTTAATGATATTGATGATGTTGATATTGTTGATGTTGATGATGCTGTTGATGTTAATGATATTGATGATGTTGTGGATGTTGTTAATGATGTTGATATTGATGATGTTGATGTTGTTGATGATGTTGTTGATGTTGTTAATGATATTGATTATGTTGTTGTTAATGATATTGATTATGTTGATGATGTTGTTGATGATGTTGATATTGTTGATGTTGTTGATGATGATGATGTTGTTGTTGATGTTGATATTGTTTATGGTGTTGATGATGTTGATGTTGTAAATGATATTGATGATGTTGATATTGTTGATGTTGATGATGCTGTTGATGTTAATGATATTTATGATGTTGTGGATGTTGTTAATGATGTTGATATTGATGTTGTTGATGATGTTGTTGATGTTGTTAATGATATTGATGATATTGATGTTGTTGATGTTAATGATATTGATGTTGATGTTAATGATATTGATGTTGTTGATGATGTTGATGTTGTTGATGATGTTGTTGATGATGTTGTTGATGATGTTGTTGATGATGTTGTTGATGTTGATGATGTTGTTAATGATATTGATGATGTTAATGATATTGATGATGTTAATGATATTGATGTTGTTGATGTTGTTGATGATGTTGTTGATGTTGATGATGTTGATGTTGTTAACGATATTGATGATAGTGATGATGTTGATGTTGTTAATGATATTGATGATATTGATGATGTTGATGATGTTGATGTTGTTAATGATATTGATGATGTTGATGTTAATGATATTGATGATGTTAATGATATTGATGTTGTTGATGATGTTGATGATGTTGTTGATGTTGTTGATGATGTTGATGTTGTTGATGATGTTGTTGATGATGTTGATGTTGTTGATGTTGCCAAGTGGAATCGTGCTCCAGTCCACCCTCAGTTTTCCTCGAAGCGGTGAGCTGGAAGGGCGACACAGACAAAGATCCCCCAGGTAGCCTCAGCAACCAGTAGGGGCAAGTGCTGTGAGCAGCGAGTAGCACTGCCAATGAAGGTTGGCACTGTGGTACACACAGAGGTGGTGGTGGGTGGCTAGCACCACCACGCCCGGCCGCCTTTGTCTCTCCAGACACAGCACATTCACTCAGCCACTCACTCACTCACTACCATTCACCCACTCACTCTACCACGCACTCACCCACCCACTCACTCAGTCACTCACTCACTCACCCACTCACCCACTCACTCACTCACTCACCCACCCACTCACCCACTCACTCACTCAGTCACTCACTCACTCAGTCACTCACTCACCCACTCACCCACTAACCCACTCACCCACTCACTCACCCACTCACTAACTCACCCACCCACTCACTCACCCACTCACTCACTAACTCACCCACTCACTCACTAACTCACCCACCCACTCACTCACCCACTCACTCACCCACTCACTATACCACTCACCCACTCCACTACTCACTCACTCACTCACCTACTCACTGACTCACCCACTCACTCACATTCACCCACTCACTCACTCACATTCACCCACTCACTCACCCACTCAGTCACTCACTCACTTAGTCACTCACTCACTCAGCCACTCACCCACTCACCCACCCACTCACTCACTCTACCACTCACCCACTCACTCACCCACTCACTCACCCACTCACTCACCCACTCATTCACTCACTCTAACAGTGAAACACACAGTGACACACAGTGACACACACAGTGACACACACAGTGACACACACACAGTGACACACAGTGACACACACACCGTGAAACACAGTGGCACACAGAGTGACACACAGTGACACACACACACAGTGACACACACACAGTGACACACACAGTGACACACACACAGTGACACACAGTGACACACACACCGTGAAACACAGTGGCACACAGAGTGACACACAGTGACACACACAGTGACACACACACAGTGACACACACGCAGTGACACACAGTGACACACAGTGAAACACACACACAGTGACACACAGTGACAACAACCGCCATTTGCCAGTAAGTGGCGGTGACGTCACAAACAGCGCCTGTGCCAGGCTAGGTGCACTTCGAGGCTACCACGTGAAGTGTCAAAGGCCTGTCGCTGGCGGAAGGAGGTCACGTGACAGACCCTGCAGGTGCCATGGGTTGACTGCTGTGCCAGGCTAGGTGCAGGAGGAGGTCACGGGACAGACCCAGCAGGTGCCATGGGTTGACTGCTACTGTGCCAGGCTAGGTGCAGGAGGAGGTCACGTGACAGACCCTGCAGGTGCCATGGGTTTACTGCTGTGCCAGGCTAGGTGCAGGAGGAGGAGGTCACGTGACAGACCCTGCAGGTGCCACGGGTTGACTGCTGTGCCAGGCTAGGTGCAGGAGGAGGTCACGTGACAGACCCAGCAGGTGCTATGGGTTGACTGTTGTGCCAGGCTAGGTGCAGGAACATCTTCGCCGGTTAGAAACATTTAGGCTGGCCTGCCTACGATCCATCCTGGGTTTAACCAGACTGGATTGTGTGAGGAGCTCACAAATCCTTGAAAGATCTGGGCAAGGTCCCATCGGTGAGCTCCTCCGGCAGGCAAGGCTGCGATGGCTGGGTCATGTAGCCCGCATGCCCAGCCACCGCATGCCGAAACAGCTTTTGTTCGGCCGGATTGAGGGGGCTAAGCGGGCGCGGCACGGGCTAGAGAAGAGATGGAGTGATGTGGTACAGGAGGACGTGGAGCTGAGTGGACTTGCCGATGACTGGTACCAGCGGTGTCAAGATCGGCCTCTGTGGAGGAGGCTCGTGAAGGATGCTGCTGGGCAGTTGGAGGCAGTCGCCCTCCAACAACAACGGAGGGCGGAGGAGCGACGCTCACAACAACGAGCGGAGCGCCGGGTGGCTAAAGCATAGCAGGTTGGCACAGTAGGGGGCACAGGTGGTGCATCAGCCAGTCATCTCAGTCAGTCGACCCGTGGCACCTGGGTCTGCCCCGTGACCTCCTGCCAGCGGGCGTTCGACACTTCACGTGGCCTCAGGGTGCACATAGCCTGGCACAAGCGTCGTGGTGACGTCACCGCCACTTAGTGGCGAATGGCGGTTGTTGTTGTGTGTCACTGTGTGTGTGTCACTGTGTGTGTGTCACTGTGTGCGTGTGTGTACACTGTGTGTGTGTGTGTGTCACTGTGTGTGTGTGTGTGTGTCATGTGTGTGTCACTGTGTGTGTGTGTGTTACTGTGTGTATGTGTGTCACTGTGTGTGTGTGTGTGTCACTGTGTGTGTGTGTCACTGTGTGTGTGTGTCACTGTGTGTGTGTGTCACTGTGTGTGTGTGTGTCACTGTGTGTGTGTCACTGTGTGTGTCACTGTGTGTGTCACTGTGTGTGTGTCACTGTGTGTGTGTGTGTGTCACTGTGTGTGTGTGTCACTGTGTGTGTGTCACTGTGTGTGTGTGTCACTGTGTGTGTGTGTCACTGTGTGTGTGTGTGTCACTGTGTGTGTGTCACTGTGTGTGTGTGTCACTGTGTGTGTCACTGTGTGTGTGTCACTGTGTGTGTGTGTGTGTGTCACTGTGTGTGTGTGTCACTGTGTGTGTGTGTCACTGTGTGTGTGTGTCACTGTGTGTGTGTGTCACTGTGTGTCACTGTGTGTGTGTGTGTGTGTCACTGTGTGTGTGTGTGTGTGTCACTGTGTGTGTGTCACTGTGTGCCCGTGGGTACTCACACTGCTTGGGGATCCGCAGTGACTCGGTGTCGGGGACGGTGACCTGGTGCAGCGCGCCACGGAACTGGTAGAGAACCTTCAACGCCTTCTCCTCACCCACACACGGGTCGTAGAACCCGGGCAGCCCCGCCTACACACACAGTGACACACACACACACAGTGACACACACACAGTGACACACACAGTGACACACACACACAGTGACACACACACAGTGACACACACACACAGTGACACACACACACAGTGACACACACACAGTGACACACACACACAGTGACACACACACACACACAGTGACACACACAGTGACACAGTGACACACACACACAGTGACACACACACAGTGACACATACACAGTGACACACACACACAGTGACACACACACATACAGTGACACACACACAGTGACACACACACACACAGTGACACACACAGTGACACACACAGTGACACACACACACAGTGACACACACACAGTGACACATACAGTGACACACACACACAGTGACACACACACACAGTGACACACACAGGTAGACACACACACAGAGGTATACACGTACACACAGACACACACAGGTACACACCACCACAGAGGTACACACGTACACACAGACACACGCGTACACACACGTACACACCCCCACAGAGGTACGCACGTACACAGACACACACACAGGTACACACACCCACAGAGGTACGCACACACACACACAGGTACACACACCCACAGAGGTACACACGTACGCACACACACACAGGTACACACACACACACACAGGTACACACACAGGTACACACACCCACAGAGGTACACACACACAGGTACACACACCCACAGAGGTACACACGTACGCACACACACACACAGGTACACACACACAGGTACACACACCCACAGAGGTACGCACGTACACACAGACACAGACACACACACACAGGTACACACAGACACACACACGGGTACACATACCCACACACAGGTACACACACACACACAGAGGTACGCACGTACACACAGACACACACAGACACACCCACACAGGTACGCACACACACACAGGTACACAGGTACACACAGACACACACACAGGTACACACACACACAGTGGTACACACAGACACACACACAGGTACACACACAGTGGTACACACAGACACACACACAGGTACACACACACACACAGGTACACACAGACACACACACAGGTACACACACACACAGGTACACACAGACACACACACAGGTACACACACACACAGGTACACACAGACACACACACAGGTACACACAGACACACACACAGGTACACACACCCACAGAGGTACACACAGAAACACACACAGGTATACACACCCACAGAGGTACACACAGACACACACACAGGTACACACACACACAGGTACACACAGACACACACACAGGTACACACGTACACACGTACACACACACACACAGGTACACACACCCACACAGGTACACACAGACACACACACGGGTACACATACCCACACACAGGTACACACACACACACAGAGGTACGCACGTACACACAGACACACACAGACACACCCACACAGGTACGCACACACACACAGGTACACAGGTACACACAGACACACACACAGGTACACACACACACAGTGGTACACACAGACACACACACAGGTACACACACAGTGGTACACACAGACACACACACAGGTACACACACACACACAGGTACACACAGACACACACACAGGTACACACACACACAGGTACACACAGACACACACACAGGTACACACACACACAGGTACACACAGACACACACACAGGTACACACAGACACACACACAGGTACACACACCCACAGAGGTACACACAGAAACACACACAGGTATACACACCCACAGAGGTACACACAGACACACACACAGGTACACACACACACAGGTACACACAGACACACACACAGGTACACACGTACACACGTACACACACACACACAGGTACACACACCCACAGAGGTACACACAGACACACACACAGGTACACACACCCACAGAGATACACACACACACACACACAGGTACACACACACACACACAGACACACACACACAGGTACACACAGGTACACACACACAGGTACACACACACACACACAGGTACACACACACACACACAGACACACACACACAGGTACACACAGGTACACACACACACACACAGGTACACACACACACACACAGACACACACACACAGGTACACACAGGTACACACACACACAGACACACACAGACACACACACACAGGTACACACAGGTACACACACACACAGACACACACACACACACACAGACACACACACACAGGTACACACAGGTACACACACACACACAGGTACACACACACAGGTACACACACACAGGTACACACACACACAGGTACACACACACAGTGGTACACACACACAGGTACACACAGACACACACACACACAGGTACACACACACACACACAGGTACACACACCCACAGTGGTACACACAGACACACACACAGGTACACACACACCCACAGACACACACACACAGGTACACACGTACACACACGTACACACAGGTACACACACCCACAGAGGTACGCATGTAGCCCCCCCCCGCCTACCTTGCGTGCGTCAGTGAGGATGAGCTTGGAGTCTCTGACGAGGCACTGCAGGGGGGTCGTGACGTCGATAACGTGGGGACGCTCCCCACGGCCGCTCGCATCAGTGATGAGCCGGCCGTACCAGGCGTGGATAATGACCAGGCCTGTACCACCACCACCACCATCATCATCATCATTACACACAGCACCACCACCATCATCATTACCATACACACAGCACCACCACCATCACCATCATCATTACCATTATTACCATTACCATACACACAGCACCACCACCATCACCATCATCATTACCATTATTACCATTACCATACACACAGCACCACCATCATCATCATTACCATACACACAGTACCACCACCACCACAACCACCACCATCATCACCATACAGACAGCACCACCACCACCACCACCATACACACAGCACCACAACCACCATTATTACTACCATACACACAGCACCATCATCATTATTACTACCATACACACAGCACCACCAACACCACCATTATTACTACCATACACACAGCACCAACACCACCATTATTACTACCATACAAACAGCACCACCATTATTACTACCATACACACACCACCACCATTATTACTACCATACACACACCACCACCACCATTATTACTACCATACACACAGCACCACCACCATTATTACTACCATACACACAGCACCACCATTATTACTACCATACACACACCACCACCACCATTATTACTACCATACACACACCACCACCACCATTATTACTACCATACACACAGCACCACCACCATTATTACTACCATACACACACCACCACCATTATTACTACCATACACACACCACCACCACCATTATTACTACCATACACACAGTACCACCATTATTACTACCATACACACAGCACCAACACCATTATTACTACCATACACACACCACCACCATTATTACTACCATACACACACCACCATCATCATTATTACTATCATACACACACCACCACCATTATTACTACCGTACACACAGCACCACCACCATTATTACTACCATACACACACCACAACCATTATTACTACCATACACACACACCACAACCATTATTACTACCATACACACACCACCACCACCATTATTACTACCATACACACAGCACCACCACCATTATTACTACCATACACACAGCACCACCATTATTACTACCATACACACAGCACCAACACCACCATTATTACTACCATACACACAGCACCACCACCATTATTACTACCATACACACACCACCACCATTATTACTACCATACACACAGCACCACCATTATTACTACCATACACACACCACCACCACCATTATTACTACCATACACACACCACCACCATTACTACTACCATACACACAGCACCACCACCATTATTACTACCATACATACAGCACCACCACCATTATTACTACCATACACACAGCACCACCACCATTATTACTACCATACACACACCACCACCACCATTATTACTACCATACACACAGCACCACCACCATTATTACTACCATACATACAGCAACCACCACCATTATTACTACCATACACACACCACCACCATTATTACTACCATACACACAGCACCATCATCATTATTACTACCATACACACAGCACCACAACCATTATTACTACCATACACACAGAACCACCACCATTATTACTACCATACACACATCACCACCATTATTACTACCATACACACACCACCACCACCATTATTACTACCATACACACACCACCACCATTATTACTACCATACACACACCACCACCACCATTATTACTACCAGACACACAGCACCACAACCATTATTACTACCATACACACAGAACCACCACCATTATTACTACCATACACACATCACCACCATTATTACTACCATACACACACCACCACCACCATTATTACTACCATACACACACCACCACCACCATTATTACTACCATACACACACCACCACCACCATTATTACTACCATACACACAGCACCACCACCATTATTACTACCATACACACAGCACCACCACCATTATTACTATCATACACACACCACCACCACCATTATTACTATCATACACACACCACCACCACCATTATTACTACCATACACACACCACCACCATTATTACTACCATACACACAGCACCACCACAACCATTATTACTACCATACACCCACCACCACCACCATTATTACTACTATACACACAGCACCACCATTATTACTACCATACACACACCACCACCACCATTATTACTACCATACACACAGCACCACCATTATTACTACCATACACACACCACCACCACCATTATTACTACCATACACACACCACCACCATTATTACTACCATACACACAGCAGCACCACAACCATTATTACTACCATACACCCACCACCACCACCATTATTACCACCATACACACACCACCACCATTATTACTACCATACACACACCACCACCACAACCATTATTACTACCATACACACACCACCACCACCATTATTACTACCATACACACACCACCACCATTATTACTACCAAACACACACCACCACCACCATTATTACTACCATACACACACCACCACCACAACCATTATTACTACCATACACACAGAACCACCACCATTATTACTACCATACACCCACCACCACCACCATTATTACTACCATACACACAGAACCACCACCATTATTACTACCATACACACAGCACCAACACCATTATTACTACCATACACACAGTACCAACACCATTATTACTACCATACACACAGAACCACCACCATTATTACTACCATACACACCACAACCATTATTACTACCATACACACAGCACCACCACCATTATTACTACCATACATACAGCACCACAACCATTATTACTACCATACACACAGCACCACCACCACCATTATTACTACCATACACACAGCACCACCATTATTATTACCACACACACAGCACCACCATTATTATTACTACCATACACACAGGACCACCCACACCACCACCATTATTACTACCATACATACAGCACCACAACCACCATTATTACTATCATACACACAGCACCACCACAACCATTATTACTACCATACACACAGAACCACAACCATTATTACTACCATACACACAGCACCACCATTATTACTACCATACACACAGAACCACCACCATTATTACTACCATACACACACCACCACCACCATTATTACTACCATACATACAACACCACAACCACCATTATTACTACCATACACACAGCACCACCACCACCATTATTACTATCATACACACAGCACCACCACCATTATTACTACCATACACACACCACCACCATTATTACTACCATACACACACCACAACCATTATTACTACCATACACACAGTACCACAACCACCACCATTATTACTACCATACATACAGCACCACCACCATTATTACTACCATACACACAGCACCACCACCATTATTACTACCATACACACACCACCACCACCACCATTATTACAACCATACACACAGAACCACCACCATTATTACTACCATACACACACCACCACCACCATTATTACTACCATACATACAACACCACAACCACCATTATTACTACCATACACACAGCACCACCACCACCATTATTACTATCATACACACAGCACCACCACCATTATTACTACCATACACACACCACCACCATTATTACTACCATACACACACCACAACCATTATTACTACCATACACACAGTACCACAACCACCACCATTATTACTACCATACATACAGCACCACCACCATTATTACTACCATACACACAGCACCACCACCATTATTACTACCATACACACACCACCACCACCACCATTATTACAACCATACACACAGCACCACAACCATTATTACTACCATACACACAGCACCAACACCATTATTACTACCATACACACAGCACCAACACCATTATTACTACCATACACACAGCACCATAACCACCACCATTATTACTACCATACACACACACCACCACCATTATTACTACCATACACACATCACCACCACCATTATTACTACCATACACACAGCACCAACACCATTATTACTACCATACACACAGCACCAAAACCATTATTACTACCATACACACAGCACCAAAACCATTATTACTACCATACACACAGCACCACCACCATTATTACTACCATACACACACCACCACCACCATTATTACTACCATACACACACCACCACCATTACTACTACCATACACACAGCACCACCACCATTATTACTACCATACATACAGCACCACCACCATTATTACTACCATACACACAGCACCACCACCATTATTACTACCATACACACACCACCACCACCATTATTACTACCATACACACAGCACCACCACCATTATTACTACCATACATACAGCAACCACCACCATTATTACTACCATACACACACCACCACCACCATTATTACTACCATACACACAGCACCATCATCATTATTACTACCATACACACAGCACCGCAACCATTATTACTACCATACACACAGAACCACCACCATTATTACTACCATACACACATCACCACCATTATTACTACCATACACACACCACCACCACCATTATTACTACCATACACACACCACCACCACCATTATTACTACCATACACACACCACCACCACAACCATTATTACTACCATACACACACCACCACCACCATTATTACTACCATACACACACCACCACCATTATTACTACCATACACACACCACCACCACCATTATTACTACCATACACACAGAACCACCACCATTATTACTACCATACACCCACCACCACCACCATTATTACTACCATACACACAGAACCACCACCATTATTACTACCATACACACAGCACCAACACCATTATTACTACCATACACACAGTACCAACACCATTATTACTACCATACACACAGAACCACCACCATTATTACTACCATACACACACCACAACCATTATTACTACCATACACACAGCACCACCACCATTATTACTACCATACATACAGCACCACAACCATTATTACTACCATACACACAGCACCACCACCATTATTACTACC